GGGAAGGTAGTGGTGGGTAGGGGTAAGGGGGAGAGATCAACCAAAGGACTTGTATGCATGCATATAAGCCTAACCAATAGACACAGAAAACAGGGGGATGAGGGCATGAGTGGGGAGGGGGGGTAATGGGGGAATAAGGATATATATGTAATACCTTAATCAATAAAGAAATTTTTTAAAAAGACTGAATACCACCCAAAGAGCTCCTTATCACAATTGATCTGTCTCTTAAGTCACTGAGTCAAGTCCCCATCCACTTGTTAATAATGTCCCAATGCTTCTCTAATGCATCTGAGAAATCTGATGATGGGACAGGGGTGGGGGCAAAAATGGTAAATGGGTACTTCAGGGGCTCCATTCCTGTTCACTTTGGGAAGGGGCAGCTCTTCCTTTCCTGGGTAGATTTCATAGATTGCTGCTACTGCTGTTTCTAGACAATGCCTGGAAGCAGCAACAAGACTGTCCTTTGGGCTGACACTATCATCTCTGCCTCCTCCCTAATTACACAGAAACTAGCTACTCTTAGGATTGTGGTACCTGGAGGCTCAGGCCTTCCAAGCCTCACCCTAGCTGCATGCTAGAGGACACTAGCAGCCCAAGAATTCCAAGCTTACTTCACCTCCACCCAAGAATGGGAATAGCCAGGGCAGGATGAAAAGCAATCTGGATGTCAGGGCATGTAAAAAAAAAATAAGGGAATTAGAAAAGTCACATGCCATTTTAGAATTAAGGGCATTAATAGGAGAGAGAAGACGCAGAAGGACCTTCCTGACATCCATTTCATGGCCTCAGATTGGAGGGCAATAAATAATTATGTGTGCTCTGGCCACATGGCTCAGTTTGTTGGAGTGTCATCCTGTACATGAAAAAGTTGTGGGTTTGATTTCGGGTCAGGTATATACCTAGGTTCAGGTTTGGTCCCAGGTCAGTGCGAGTATGGGGGACAGCCAATCAATGTTTCTCATGTCTGTGTGTGTCTCTCTCTCTCCCTCATCCCCACTTCCCCTTCTTCTTTCTCTAAAACCAATGGAAATGTATCCTAGGGTGATAATTAAAAAGAAAATGGTATGTGACCTCAGTCCCTAAGGGTTCCATGTTTCTTGCAGTTTTATCAGTACCTATCCTTGTGAGCAACACAAGGTTGGTAGGGAGATGATTTCATTTAACATAGGGAGTGGAGTGAAATAAATCCAGACCTGAGAGAGCTTGTCAGGAAGGAAATACGGGCTCCAACTAAGCTGAGAGGACAGGGTGCTGCAGTGGGAGAAGGTGTGTGAAGAGGAAGCATAGATGTATGAGTAGGAGAGAGGAGGAGGAGGGTGGGGGCAGATGACCAGGCTGGGGACTCACATTTAGATCGACAGGAAGCCTGGTAGGAACTGCAGACCCAGAGGTTTCACACAGAACTCTGGGCCCTGTGGTCCTGAGGGGAGCGAGGTGTTGGGGCTCTAGTTAGCTAGCAGTTGGTGGCCCACTTAATAGGGGCAAAGAGGGTTGAGGCCCAGAGGGAGGGGGAGAAGCCAGGCACTGCAAGAAGCCCACGCAGCCTTTCCTGGACTGCTGCACCCAGAACCTGACTTAAAGGGCTCCTCCTTCCAGAATCACCCCTCAGCTCCTCCCTGGCTTTTTACTCTTGCTCCATCCAGGATCCCACAATCTCATTTTACAACCCCCCACCTCAAGCCACACACTCACACTCTCTCTTGGTGGAGGGGGTAGAGGCTCAGCCTCCCCTGCTGTGCCATCACTCCTCCCCCACCCCACATTCCATGTTTGCTGTAAGCCCCACCTCCTCACCCCTTGACCAGGAGACTGTGAGGGCCCCTCTGCCTGGAACCCTTTAGCTGAGCACTGGCCAGGAGCAAAGGCTAAAGAGGCCCACTCCTTGCATCCCTCTGGGGCCCTGGCAGTGACCTCCATTTCTCCAAAGCCAAAGGGACACCTTCCTCACTCCAGGCAGGAGGTAGCTCCACTCAGGCTCCTAAAGCCACAGGGCCTCCTAATATTCCACAGCTGTCCTCCCAAGGGACCTTTTCCCCAACTTTTACCCGCATCTAAATAAAGATGAGTGATGAGCCCTGGCTAGTTTTTCTCAGTGGTTTGAGTGTCAGCCAGAGGATTGAAGGGTTGAGGGTTTTCATTTCTGGTCAAGGGCAAGTACCTGGGTTGTGGATTTGATCCCTGGACCTGGTAATTAAATAACAAATTTTAAAAAAAGGTAAGTAGTGAGGGAAATGCTGCTCCACTCTTCTACTTCAAAGTGCAATGACTTTCCACATCCTTCCCACATTGAATGACTTACTCAGATAAGCAATCCATGCTGTCATAATTTCTTTCTGGGCTCAGGTAGAGTAAAAGGAAAAATAAATAAATGCTACACTTTCTACCACCCTCCTTTCCATTGGAGCTGCTTTAGGGTTCAGTATAGATTGCTGCTTTGAAAACTTCTAATGCATCCCCTTTCGGCCCTCCTCCATCCTCTTTGTTGTGTAAACTTGAAATTGTCTAAATTTTTATTTCACCAAAATGACGAAAACCAGAAACTTTATTTCACTTTGTGTGACACTGGCTTTTCCTTTATTCAAGAAATATGTATTTTCTTTATTTGGAAGACATGGCACAATAGGGCATTCTGATCAGATTAAGAGTTAGCCAATGTACGGCTTTTAGAGAATTTTATGTTTGATACCCTTCATATAGGTCTTTTCCTTCCTTTCTTTCTTTATTCTCATTAGTTGCTCAGAGATGAAATGAGTCTTTTGACAGGAGAAACTTGTTAGGTCAGAGAGAACCCAGGATCGGATACACGCAGACATGTGATGAGACAATGGACTTCGCCTGGAATTTCTCACAGATCAAGGTGCCAGACACAGATACTGGCTTCTTCTCCCTTAATCCACATACCCCCGCCCATCCCCTGCAGCAGAGAATTCCTCAGCTCATGTCCCCGCCCCTCACCCAACCGCAGTATAAAAAAAGCGCCCCCCTCCCTGTTGGGTGAATCCACGTGCCCTCTCCTTGGGGTACGTGGGTCTCCCGGGGACGCAGAATAAACCTTTTCCTTTCCTTTCTTTTCTGATTCACTGGAGCCTCTATTT